GGGTGTGAAAGTGTCAGAGGTCACGTCGAGAAGGAGGCATCGCAGCCCGACTCTCAGTCCACCAGTCTGCCACTGCGCACAAACGCACGCTGTGCTGAATGCAAGGCTTGAGTTCCATCGGCAGTTGGCAGTCTAACGGGTCATCATTATCATCAACGTACCCTGACAGTCTCAGGCTCCGATCACACATGCAGCGGAGGGGCCGCAGGGAGTAGGAGCAGGAAAACACTTGCCACTTACGAGGAGAGATGTGCCAACCACGTGCTTTTGTCGTGTGGTGTCGAGTGTGGTCGTGTTTAGAGTAGATGCTGGTGAGGAGAGATGTGGTGGTATGGTATGCCCTCTAATCGGGCAACGTGTTAGATGCGCTGGACCAACAGGGGGGCCACATCGGACTCTGGCAGGCGTTATCTGTGCGCAATAACAAATGCCAACATTTGCGGGGTGCGCTGGTGGACCCTGATGTCGGCTTTTGTCGCTCAACTGGACCACTGCCGCCACCCCATTGCTTTGTGGTCAAAATCCTGGTTATTGTTGTGTGGACCAGGGGGTGCGGTGGAACGCCAAGGTGAGGATCCGACCGAGCCATCCACCTGCGGCCTCCCTCGTCTCCGGTCTTCTTGACTCTGTCTTGACACCGGGCCCAGGCGGGGGAGGAGGAGAGAGTGTAGGTAGATGCTACGCAAGTCTACTGGCACTATAAACCCCTGCGTAAGTCACCGTCCCTGCTCCCACAATGCAGTCTGTGGGGCACACGTTGGACATCGTCGAAATCGACGGTCGAACTGTCGTGGTGGTATGGTATCACCGGACTCGCATCACGACATCCGTTCACCTGAGCGCCACTTCTAGGGCGGTGCGTACGTGCTTGCGTGCGTGCGTGCACACATGACCTTTGTCCGCCTACAATCCCGACCAGAAAATGACACAACGTCGATTGGCGTGAAGCCGTCTCCACAAGGTGGCCAAGTCACGTGTGTTGCAAACAGCATCCCATTGGCAGGAGGTGTTACTTAGGCTGACAGAAGGCGTCAAGAGAGAAAAACCAGACAGTCGACCAGGAGAACCGACTGCCACAAGCACACAATCTCGCCTCCACCGCTGATTGTCCTACCACACAACATCTCCGCCGCAGCCACCGCCACCGTCGCAGGACAGGTTAGTAATCAGTCAGTTAAACGGTCTTCTTCTGACTCAGTGCAGGTATGGGTTGGACGAATGGCATTAAATAGAAGCAACCGGCAGGGCGTCAGGCAGATGCTAGGGATTACCCCAAATCCACAAATCCCACCTTTCACCTCGAATGATCGTAGCCCTCGGCGGCAGCCCAGTCAGCCGGATGACTCACAAACCCCACATCTTCTTTGAGGTTCATCTGGGACGTCAGTAAAATCGACATCTCCACTCCTCACCAGTTCCCGCGAGCAAAAATGGAGCTTCACGAGGCGATAATGTTCTTCGACGTGACACTGCTCCTTGCATCCATCTCACCGCATTTGGTGTGCAAGGCTATGCGCTGCGTCCTGCATGGAAGTATGGCAAATCACGGGCATGTCTTTACTGATATTGTCATCATATTTAAGTAGTCGTACAGGCCGATGCCTCCCGTCATTCTGAGTAAATTGTACACATATATCTGCATTTATGCTGCACCAGGTAATGCAGTGACATATGTGTCGGCGGTTTGCAATTGACAACATCTAACTACATTTTCTTCTCTCTGAATCATTGTAGAAATTGCATGTTTATGCTCAATCGTATTATTGGACGCAGAGGACTGCTTGTCTGTGGTCGACTACTGCGTCCATTCGTCGGCAGTTTCAGCTGCGTTTCATCTCCTCCCTCCTCTCCAATTAACCTCAGGGATCACAACATCAACCACATGTTTGGTGCGTACGAGGAGGTTCTTTCCATCCAGATCCACTATCTTCGTCAGGGCCTAGGAGCCAACAATATCCTCCTATTTCCCGGTCCATTCGGCTCCATCAGGACTGATTACATGGACTTCCTACAGCGTCTGAACATAAACGAGTACGTTCCCTGGGGCTGCTTGGCACTGTGTGTTTTGACCAACTGGTGTAGATATAGACGGAGATAGGTGTAGAAAGTCGCACTAGGATCCAGCTCGGCGGATTTGTTGCGAAAGGCTATACGGTGCGTCCTGCATGGAAGTATGGCAAATCATGGGCTTGTCTTTACTGATATTGTCATCATACTTAAGTAGTATTACAGGTCGATGCCTCCCGTCATTCCGGGTAAATTGTAAACATACATCTGCATTTATGCAGCACCAGTGACATGTGTGTCGATGGTTTGCAATTTACAACAGCTAACCACATTTTCTCCTCTCTGAATCATTGTCGAAAGAGCATGTTTATGCCCAATCGTATTAATGGACGCCAAGGACTGCTCGTCTGTGGTCGACTACTGCGTCCTTTCGTCAGCAGTTTCAGCAACGTCGCATCTCCTCCCTCCCCTGCAATTGGCCTCAGGGATCACAACATCAATCACATGTTTGGTGCCTACGAGGAGGTTCTTTCAATCAGGATTCACTATCTTCGTCAGGGCCTAGGAGCCAACAATATCCTCCTTTTTCCCGGTCCATTCGGCTCCATCAGGACTGATTACATGGTCTTCCTACAGCGTCTTAACAGTAATGAGTACGTTCCGTGGGGCGGCTTGACACTCTGTTTTGACCAACTGGTGTAGATATACATAGACCAAGATAGAGATGTAGAAATTCGCATGAGGATACACTATATAGAAGTTCGAAAGAAATAAGCTCTTTGGGAAAGATTAACAAGGTTTATTGTAAATTTTCGATCTTGGTTCCCCAAGTCGTCCTCAGACGTGGAATAAGTGTGCAAAACAGTCAACATTTAAACATGCCGAAAAATCGATTTTGCCTTGGCATTCCTGCTGGTGTCTTGCTCTGATTGGCTAATGCCTTTTCCACTTTTCCTTGAGGCTGTTGTACACCGTATCCAATTCTACGTGTTTATTGATGCCTGCGTTATCAGAATGGATGGCCTCTAAAAATTCACGGCCCTTTTTAGATGAACAGACACCTACAATGCGGGTCCTGTCCCAGGCGAATTTGTGCCCGGTTTCCAAATTATGCATGGCAATTTGGGACAAGTAGTCTCGCCTTTTTACGGCCAACTGATGTTCGTGTATTCGTGTAGAGGCCGATTTCCCGGTTTGACCACAGTAAACCGCATTACAGGTGTTGCATGGTATCTTATAGACGACTTCCTTCTTATCTAAATAGCCAACCCTATCCTTAGGGTGTACAAGCTGGTTACGAAGTTTAGTCGTCGGTTTGTGCGCCACATGTATCTGGTGCTATATAGAAGTGTCCCACTAGCCGACGACTACAGTACGTAGGCTGTTGATTCACACTCAGGATTGGGTATAGCAGTTTGGTAAGCGTTAACACACAAAATCACCGCCACCGTTACAGGACAGGTTAGTTAAACGGTCTTCGGCTAGATCGCAATTGGTAGCCAGAACCCCTATTACAGGTGGCGGGGGTTTGTCTACTGGGGCTATTTTATGGGGCTCCATGATCACATCTGACCCATTTGGCTTCCGTTATACGTTTGAGGTTACGAGTAGGGTACCGTTTAATGGTTTCCGATTTTCGGGTTAGGGTTATGCCTTTAGGCTTAGGTTTTCGGGTTACGGTTAGGGTTTGAGAGGACGATTAGGTTTCAGTATTATGGTTAGGTTTTCAAGTTACGGCTATGTCTACGGGCTACGGTTACGTTTACGATTTCGGTTACGGTTAGGGTTAGGTTTGACGTTAGGGTTAACGGTTAACGTTTAGGGTTAGGGTTCGTTTTAAGGTTAGGATAAGGCTTAAGGTCGCCGTCTGCTTCCCCACTTCTGGCTACCAATTGCAATCTGGCCGAACCTACATCGGACAGCAGTGTGTCGCAGAGGCGGTGACATGTGCGTCATTTAGTTATTAATAGTGGTAGACATACAATGTATCTACCCCAGTCTCTCCTTCTCATCCACAACCGCCTGGGCTCCTGGTAAGTTGTGGCTATGCAGCCCCACCTGATGGACACAATACTCTTTGGGTTGGGGTTATGGGTTAGGGCAGCTAAATCTCAACATTTCAGAGTATTTCAATTTCCAATAGCTTTTCTTTTGCACAAATTACTTGACATCTTCGCCCGCGGGTTCGACGGCCGCACCTGCAAAAACTCCTATTACCGCCGGTCTCGTATTACAGATGGCTGGGGTTTGTTTACTTCAGGTGGGATTACATAACCACACCTGATGGGGCCCATTTTTCATGACAAAATCAAGAAGACCGCAGGTGGGAGAGAACCGCGCCTCGCCGAGTGCACTGCGTGCGTGCGTGCGTGCGTGCGTGGGTGGGTGCACACATGACCTTTGTCCGCCTACAATCCCGATCAGCAAATGACACGTCGTGGCCATATCACGTGCGTTGCAATTGGCAGGAGGTGATACTTAAGCTGACAGAAGGCGTCATGAGACAATAACCAGACTGACGACCAGGAGAACGGACTGCCACAGACACACAAGTTCGCCCCAACCGCTAAATGTCCTACCACACAACATCTCCGCCACCGCAGTCGCAGGACAGGTTAGTTATCGTACGACAGGGACCTGGCTGTCCGCCTCCCCATTTCTGGCTACCAACTGCGATCTAACCGAGACCTGCATTGGAGTTGGACAAAATACAGAGCCCTCTTAAGATTGGGCATGGTTTCATTGATATTGCATCCACAGTTGAATAGTGTTACAGGTCGATGCGCCCTGTCCGTCAGGACTAATTGCACATGTATCTGCATTTATGTTGTGCCAGATAATATTGGGCATTTTGCAATTTTAAAAATCCAACTGCATCTTCTCCTATCGGAATCATTGTAGAGCGTGCATGTTCAATCCCCATGAACTTGGTGGACACTGAGGACTGCTCGTCTCCTTCCTCCTTCCGAATTGGCCTCCGCGAGGCTCGCCGCAAAAATCAAATGTTTGGTGCCTACGAGGAGGCCCTTTCCGTCAGCATTCGCTATCTGCTCCAGGCGCCTACGAGTCAACAATATCCTGCTCATTCCCTCCCTCCCATCCTCGTCTCCGCCATCACTGATTGCGACGTCTTAAGCGAAATGCTTGTTCTCCATGGCGGCTTCGTGTTGCGTGCATTCAAAAGGAGACATCTTGGTGAGTTCGAAATAGCATAGCGTTATGCCGTATGATAATCAATGTTACAACCCCACCTAAGTAATCCTTCCTAATCGGAAACTCCATTCAGAATTTCGATCAACATTTCATGAGACCGGTCACGAGATGTATCTGCTTTGCATGCCCCATTTTTATGCACTGTGGATGGAGGCCTATTTGCTGAAAATTTTGGAACGACACTTGCAAAATGAGATCTATCGTGCTCCCTCTCTCCCTCTCCCTCTCTCTAACACAGGCGAAAGAACGAATGATGTTATATAAATGCGACTGACAAGCAGAGAAGGCCTCGATGATGCCGACTAGATCAGGCATGATCGCAGCCGTACCATGCCGCCGCCACCGCCGTCGCAGGACAGGTTAGTTATCGGTCAGTTGAACGGTCTTCTAAAAAGTTCAATTTCGAATTTCAGTCGTCCTCTTTTTTACTCTTCATTCACATGGGAATTTTCTTATATGTACATCTGTTGGCCTATTTCACGCATTATATACAGAAATTTTCCCCTCGTCGTTTATATGAACTACAATAACGAGGTCATCGTTGCTTTTTAATTTCCTTAGAAATTAACTGCAAACTTGGAGAACATCTGTAACGTTAAGTTCCATAGGCATAGACCAAAGTTTGTATGCATGAATATTTCGGCCAAAGTCCATCAGCCACATCAGTATACAACGCTAGCACTCTTCTGATCTTCTGGTTACCACAGTGAGTGACCGATCTCATGAAATATTGGCCGAAATGCGTTTTCGACTAGGAAGAATGACTTAGATGGGGTTGTAACATTGATTGTCATACGGTGTAACGCTATAGTATTTCGGACTCGCCGGGATGTCGCCTTTTGAATACACTTCTTTTCGATCTCCTGAATAAACCATGCTCGTTGAAAAATGACTACTTGTTTAGTATGGATTTTTTACTGGCCCAATAAATTCAAATATATTATGTAGAAAACGCACAAAATAGGCTTACTTTTACTCGTTTGGTAGAAAGTCATATCCTCTTTAACTTTTATACCCCAATAATTGATACATTCCTGTTTTAAGAATTATGAGATCCTTAAGACCGTGCGATGTCCATGCATACATACATATTTTGGCTTATAAGACAGAAATGGCCATTCCAGTCTCCCTTGTCTTTGACGGTAATAGCATTCTGCCTATATATCATGCGCCGCTGTGCGGCTGCTGGTTGGGCTCGAGAGAGAGCCCTTAAGGCACAACGGAACGAGTGAGTTCCGTATGAACGATCGGTGAGCGCTCCACTAATATACATATTTTGCAAGCCGAAATATGCCCCATTTCGGGTATAAGTGTGAGCACAATGTGGTTACCGACCAATCGTGTAAATGATGCATATTTTTATGCATTCAACAAAATATATTTGAATTAATGGGTACAGACTACAATTAATTTGAAAATGCATGCTAAATAAGTAGTTATTTTCCGAGTATGGTTTCTGCATGAGGTCTAAAAGGAGTCCATTGAAACTGTAACATCCTGGCGAGTCCGAATTACTATAGCGTTATGCCGTATGGCAATCAATGTTACAACCCCACCTAAGTAATCCTTCCTAACCGAAAACTCCATGCAGAATTTCGACCAACATTTCATGAGACCGGTCACGCTCTGTATCTGCTTTGCATGCCCCATTTTTATCCACTGTGGATTGAGGCCTATTGGGTAAACATTTTGGAATGACACTTACAAAATGACATCTATCGCGCTCGCTCTGTCTTTAACACAGGCGAAAGAACGAATGACGTTATATAAATGCGACTGACAGAGATAGAGATCCGGCCTCGATGATGCCTTCTAGATCAGACATGATCGCAGCCGTACCATGGGGAAGAAGAGA